GATCTGATCTTTGATTTATTTTTTATGTATTTTCCCACAGGCTTGCCACCTTATAGTGTTTCTTTTAGATTTTCTTCTTTTAGACATAGCAATGTACCAAAAATACAGTAAGTGTATCTACTACAAAGTAAACTGATGAGAAGAAATTGATATTTTAAGGTGATTAAAACAGATCACTTACAAAATTTTTGGACTATGAAAGAAAGCAACAAGTTATGATATAATTCCCTTACAATTACCCATTACGTCCTTTATGAAATTTTATTTTGATAAAAATGAAGAAATCATTTGTCTCAGAAGTGTGTTCGTATATAATATGTATATATATTCAGTAAGTAATGAAATAAAAATTTATTCTCTCACATTAAAAACCAGTTTAAGTCATTCCATTTTTTCCATTTAGAAAAACAATAGTTGATTTAGAAGCGATTAAATTATCTTTTGTTTGGTATAATCAAATGGTAGTTGAAAATGACAAAAGAGCAAATGAGTAAAAAGTTTTGACTTAAAAAATTCACAACTGTTGAAATTATTTATTTTGAGATTATTAGGATTTAATAGATTGTTTCTACTTTATGATCTACTTTATGACTGATATAAGAAACAAACTTATAAAATTCCCAGATATCAATGTTCCTCAACTTTAAATTTGTTTTGACAAAATCTCTTAAAAAATCAAAAAAATATATTTTAATATAGATATAAATTTTAATTTAAAAACAGGCATTTTTCCTAAACCATGCAGAAAAATCATTAGGCATTGTGGCACATAAAAAGAAAACTGTATACAATGTAGAATACATTCATTTTAGTATCAGCTGATTAGTATGCTGCCTACAGATAAAAAGAACTATAAAGATATATCTGAAGGATAAATTTTTCAATGCTCTGCTACTATTGTACAATACGTAGCTATTTTTGGTATTCGTTATAATTGTAATACAAACTGTTTCCAGATCATTTCTGCCCAAAGTTACTTAATGAACAGAATTATTATTATTATAAAAATAATCATGTGATACATGCATTTTTCTAAAAATATTTCTAAATGCACTTCGATCACCTATCATGGGAGCATTCACCAGGCTGAAATTTAAATTGTTTTTAAGCCTTCCATAGAGATGAGAGGAGGGAGGAGGAACACATGGATCAAGTACCCATCATGAGCAACCATCATGGACCCACTCACTAAATTTCAAACTGCCTAAACCCTGTGCCACATCACATCTTTTCACTCAAATTTTAATGAAACTGTACTTACATCCTTTTCAGTAGATTACCTGCCTCCTGTTTTTCTAAGATGATTATGACAAGATATCATGAATTTATTCAACTTCATTTGACCTGTTACTCACTCAAGGAGACACTCAAATAATGTTTATTCAGATACCATCATGTGCCATCTACTCTGCTAACTGTGGAAATTGATAATGAAAATGTTCTCCCTTTCCTTCAAGAAACATACAGCCCAAGTAGGAAGGAAGGAATAAAGAAAAATAAAACTGTAGAATATAGAGGAATATAATAGAGGCTACGGAAGTGTAGACTATTAGTTATAAATGTTCATGTAAGTCTTCAAAGAACTAATTTTCAAACTTAATCTTCAGAATAAAAAGAACTGGACAAAACATAAGAAGGAACAGAATGGAAAAGGGGAGTAAAAATAGAAATATCACACACAAACACACACACACACAAAAAAAAAAAAAAAACACTGAGAAACAGGTATACTAGGTGTGAAGGAAATTTAGCCAGGCCTACTTCACTGCTTCTTACAAACCTTGATTCCTATTGTGAATCCCATGAAATAAGTATTATGTTATTCATAGCAGAGGACATTTCCTAATGGTAAAAATAATATAACTGACAAGGTTAGGACTGAAAGATTAATGTAACCCTTCAATTAAATGTAAGGAATAACATTCTAATATCTCTATCACTCTGCCTCAGCTTTGAATAATGAAATAATTTTATCATTCTTTCTAATACAACAGATTATCACATTCAGTTACCCTAACTATGCATGGGATTGTCCTTTACTCTCATCTGAAGAAAAACAACTTACAGAAAAAAAAAACAAAAAAAACTCAGTGGTCAAATAAAGCTTACGAATCACCTCCCATGCTCCCTTTCTTACTACCAGCATTCTCAACAATGCACTCCTGGTAGAAGCAAAGCCAAAAATAGTTCACTTCAGATGCCCAGGCCAAATCTTCCTTTTCTCCAAATCTTCCTTTCCCTAACAGCCTTCTAGTATGCCTTCTTCTTTACTTTTTTGCTCCTTGCAAAAAAAGTACTCGGTGAATAATTTTAAGTTTTTAAGGCAAGATAATGCTACATGATAACTGCTAAAGTTAAAATTTATTCAGTTTTTGGCAAAAAATCTCATAATAATCAAAAACATCACTAAAAAGCCCTTGAAAAAATATCACATTATTTTATAAATTTATTTTTCAAAACTAGATTATCTGTTCACTGTAAACAGTATACCTTAATTTCCATCTGTGATAGTATAGTATATGTCTATAATCCAGAAAGGCTTTTGCTCATGTTAGTATGAAATGTTTTTTCTATTATAAAGTCTCATAAATTAAAGAAGCACTGTTCTGTCTTACAAAAAAAAATGTAAACTGAATATTTCTAAAGGTCTTATAAAATTAGAGAAAACTGAGTTTCTAATATCTTAAATGAGGTAGACTTTTAAAGTAGTTCTTATTCAGTCACAGTGGAACACATCTATAATTTCAGCTATTTGGTAGGCTCAAAGAGGAAGATCCCAACATCAAAGCCAGGCTGGGAATTTAGCAAGACCCTGTGTCAAAATAAAATTTTTAAAAGAATGATTTGTAGTTCAGTGGTAGAGCACTGCCTAGCATTTGCAAAGCCCTGGGTTCAATCCAGAATACTGCAAAATAATAAATAAATAAATAGATAGATAAATAATTCTTCTTAGAGAAATCAAATTCGCGTCATTAAGACAAATCTTTAGGAAACGTGTTAAGATTTATAATTTTGGCTTAATGAAAATAGCCATATCCTCTAATTTAGTAAATGTTAAGTACAGTACAAGCACATATTTTATTCTATTTGAGTTTGTTTTTCCCAAATTTATCAGATTACTGAACACATAAACTAACATTTACATCACATGAATGTACATTTTTACCCAACTACCCAGCCATTACTTTAGTACACTTTATTTCTGCAGTAAAATTACATTTTGTAGTATGTCTTCTGAACAAAAGTGGGATAGCAAGTAGAGGAAAGAAGAAGATCAAAGAGTAAGCAATACAAACAGCATCTGCATCTTCTGTAGTATTAGTACATTCACCAAAAAGCACACAGTATAACCATTCCTCAAGGCCCTCTGCTAGGCCCCTTATAAAGCATGGCTTCTTCAGCATGTAAAGTGAGGTAGGTAAACAAAATGGTAACTAAACTTCCTTTCAGCTCTAACTTTCAAAAAGTCTTGGAATTTCTGTGAACTGAAATCATTGGAGTTAGGGATGTTCATCACTATTACATGGTTAATTAGTCTTGTATTTCACTAAGAATGTGAGGACTTATTGATATTCTGATGACCTCACAAATTTAAGAAACAGAGCAACAATTCAGCTCCAAGTGAAAAATTCCAAGCATCACTTTAAGAGTCACAAAGAAGAAAAGCTATAGCTGAACTCACAAAAAATTCTTCTAGGAGTAGACCCAACAAGTACATTATCACTCATATGCAAATCCAGATAGGACTCTTTGGATTGCCTGAAAATCCTTAGGGGTAGTCTAAGCAGTGAAAATAAAAATAACAAAAAAGACCTGAAAAGGGACAGAAGGTTTGTTCCTGGGTCAGTTGGCAAGAAAGAATTGAGAAGACTAGGAAAAGAACATTTCAGAAGGATAAAATGAGTCAGCAAGTCTCTATTCTTCATATACAACTTGGGAACATATCCAATTAAGCTTCTTAATTCCAAATAATGTTTTCACCACAGGGACTTCTTTTATATATTTAAGATATTTATAAATCTATCCTTTCTCTAAAAGGCTAAAACCATATTAAAAGTACATACCTACTTTCTATTTGAAACCACTGTCAAAGTCTGCACTAGATCTAATTAATGCTTAACATGCGCATTTAATTGACTTTTCTTTCAGATTTCTTTCATCTAAAACATTCAAAATCATGCACCTGTCTATTTCTGAATGAATTGTTTTAAAGATATACTGTTACCAGATTTAAGTTTGGTAAGTTGTCAGAATCCTATCAGTGAACTGAAATTATAAATTTGTAGTATTATAATTCTAACAGTGATAAGATTGTTTTATCCCATTTCTTTCAAAAGGAAAGGAACCTACTCATTATATATCCAACAAAAAGTACTGATCTCTATCAAAACTTAAATTTGTATTGTTAATCATATATTATATAGTTCAACTTCAAAATGATAAATCTAACATACAAATTTTAAAATATTTTTCTATTTACATATATGATATAAAAATATTTCATCATGTTGATAATACTAAATACTTATGAAACTATAGAAGACTACAACTTAAAACACAAATGGAATAAATTAATCCTGCAGACACTCATGCTATGTTTAAGAAAATAAAGCTACAGGTAAAAATTATCTATAAGTAAGAAGATATTGATAATTCAAACTCTAATTGTAAATATTTGAGATATCACCATGATAAGGAAAGAACTGATCACTTACTTATAGCAGTTATCCTTAATTCTAAGTAACAGAAATAATGTCTACATAGAATTAAGTATAAGTATGAAAATACGTTGAAATTGTAAATATCTAGGCCCTATTATTTTCAACATAAGAGAGTCTTCATTGATCTACTTGGTAACACTAAAAAAGATTCTTCTACCTATTGTCCACACTTGCTCCTTCTTCCCTCACATTGATCAAGAAAAAAAAATTATGGCAATTTAAGTGTAATAATAATCATAATATTCCATTTCTAATGTTTTTAAATTATGTTGTCCCAACCTGGTCTCCAAAGTCCTCTGGGAATTTCCACAATATCACAGGATCTGCAAATAATTGATACATATCATTAAAAAGAGCCAAAGAAAAACATTTAATTACACAAACTACAATCATAATTTTTTGGTCAGGGTCACTGTGTGCTATTTATCAAATTAAATATTTTAATCTTTTAAGGTTTTAGTGACTTTTGAAATAGGATCAAATAAAATTAATAACTTAGTAAGGTTATAAAAATCATTTTTTAGCAATTGACATTTTATTTATATATCATATATTTTAAGATTCTGAGTATTTTCAATGTTAACTATACTTTTAAACTATTGGTTTTAATATTAAATTAAAATATAAATGTGGTAAATATGTAATCAAATATTACAACTGACAGAGACTAAAACAAAATAAACTCTATAAATCAGTTTTAAAATAATAGATAAGTTAATAGGTAGGAGAAGACTGCTTATTTAAAATACAATTAATATTTGCAGGATATTTCAGAAAATTTTTTCTAATATATCTATTATATATATATATATATGTATTCTTTTACTTATATTCACACCAGTTTTACATTTTCATTGTTCCTTACACTATTTCTCTTCCACTTGGTATAATAAAATTCTTAATTATCACTAGGTAAATATTTTGGTCATACACTTATTTTTTAACTGTCAAAAATAAAAGTCCGAATATGTTAAATGTTTTAAAAGGTAAAATGAGTTAATATATTTCTGGGGAAAAAAATTTTAAAAACTTTTGAAAGTCCACAAAATCTAAGACATGCAAATTAAAAAGTGAATAGCTAAAATGTTGCTTGTAACTTCAATAGAATTTTTTTCAAGTATTTTAACTTAAAACGCAAAGAAAGCAAGCTTTCCATAACTAAACCTTTTACTTATAAAGCAATAAAAACTTTCCATATAAATTAACACAGGTAAGTCATTTAAAACATATACATTACAAATTTATGAAGTAACAACAAATGATTATGCCCTCCGTAAAACAATGTAGACATATTTGAAATGAAGTTAAATGAACTATAGATCACTTAAAAATCCTGAGGCATTAATGTCCTGAGGATAACTATTACCAATTGGAATACACATACACACACATTTATATGTTTCACTGGCATATAAGATGATATGTTAAGTGGCAAATAAAATAACTGATCAGATTTAAATCTCCTAAAACAAAGGTGTATGACAGAATCTTCATGAAATATCAAACAAAAATTATTACTGTTGATAAATTAACACAAAAATTAATGGCCATATAAATAAATCATCACACAAAATGTAGGCTAGTTCTTTTTCATAAATAATGAAATTAAGGGATTTCAATGTGCTTAAAATATCGCTTTTAAACAACTTTTGAGAGACATTTGAGAAAATGTCTGTGCAAGTGTTTTACACCTATGTCTTTAAGCCAGGCACAGTGGCTCATGCCCATAATTCCTTCCAGCATGAAGAAGGGAGGTTGAGGCAGGAGGATAGCAGGTTCAAAGCTAGCCTCAGCAATTTAGGGAGGATATAAGCAACCTAGTAAGGCTCTGTCTCAAAATTTAAAAAATGAAAATAAAAAGGATTAGGGATGTGATTCAGTGGTAAAGGGCCCTTGGGTTAATTCCTTCCTAAAAAAAAAAAAAAAAAGGCAAAACAACAACAAAAAACAATGCCTCTCGGGGCTAGGATTGTGGCTCAGTGGTACAGCGCTCGCCTTGCACAGGTGCACAGGCGGGACTGGTCAGATCCTAAGCACCACATAAAAATAAAGGCATTGTGTTGTGTCCATCTACACCTAAAAAATAAATACTTAAAAAAAAAAAAAAACAATGCCTCTGTCTTTAAATAAGGACATTTAACTGGTGTAGCCCTCACAGTTTGCCCTCATTGTTAGCAGCATTTAGTTAAGTATGGTTTACTGCCTTACTTTACACTAATCCCTTACTCAATCTTTTTTCTTTTTTTCTGTATTCACAGAGAAAGAATAAGTGAGTACATAAAAAAAGCACCTACTGGTTTAATTATCTAGTGGAATATATCCTATTGTTTTCATTAAATAAATTTTACTCTTCAGCACTCAAAACTTTATTATAATCATATGCATCCATATTTTAAAATGTATTAACTTAGTTAATATTTATGTGGTTATATTTAGACCACATCTGACATATCTTTGTAGCAACTTTTCATAAGTACTGCAGAGGAAGAAACAAAAGGGACTAAAAAAAAATAATAATTCAATTCTACAACTTTGCACAAAGACTGAATTTTCTGTTCCCTGAGGATTACTTTCTAAATAATCAATCTGATCTGGCAATGTTAGGCCAATTTTATGCTGATTTTATGGGTGAAAGGATGGGAACTGATGGCAGGAGTCATCAGTGCAGTGATGACTGATAATAACAGTTTCTCTTCTTTCCAACTTCTACTAGTAATTCAAAGGAGACTCTTTATCTTCATTTTAAAAATACTTTGCTGCCAACAATCTAGAAACTAAATAAATATGAAAGGAAGAACGTATCTTAATTTTGACATAAATATAACTAATTTGTTTTAATGAGATAAATTACAATGTAATAAGAAAAATACACAAATTTTTATCAAATCAGTAAACATTTAAGGAAAAATGTTTAAATTATTATCTGTGCTCTACTATCACAAAGATTTTTAATTCATGATTAAACCTTTATAAAAATGGAAAATAAGATAAATTTGATGATATTTTATTTTCTTTCTCAATCAGATATTTCACATTTTTTGACCTACAGTGAAAAGGAAAAATTAAAATAACTTGGAATACTAATGTGATTCTACTGAATCACAAAAACTAAAAAGGGAAAACTTTCTAATTGCATAAGTGAATAAAACTGACTTAATTCATAGAACTCAAAAATGAATTAAGAATACACTATCTTTTAAAGTATGCACTTGTCAAAAATTCACAGTTCAAAAGGACATATTTTTGAAAAAGTAGAACATAAAATAATAATATTTTGTTTGTTTATACCTTTTATTGCTTGATTTACTTACATTATAGAATTAGAACAGAATTTATATATGAAGAAACAGAAGTCAAAATAATGAGAAGTTTGCTTAATCATATAGCTATCTAATGTCTGAGATTAGAGCATTCTTAAAATGTAAGAAGCACCTTATTTTAAATAATTTCCAAAAACTAATCCATTTTGTGACTCATTTAAATTTATTTTGTTCAAAAATCTAAAGACTGCTTAAAAAAAAAAAGAAAAGAAAAAGTCTCTGTCCTCCAGTACCCTACAGTGTCATGGACAAAAATGTCAAAGGCTATTTAGTTTTTGTGCAAGGTATTATTCTAAACATGGTAGACTTCAGGGTCATTTTAATTCAACTTAAAATTTCATCAGCTTAATAATTTCAAGAAATGTTGCAAATGAAGGAATGAAGATGTGTTTTGAAAAAAAGTGAGCAAAAAAATTAAACTGTTTTTTGGAAAATGTGTGACTTTCATTCTTTTAACTGTGGTGATATAATGGTCAATTTATAGAAAAGAAAAACATTCAAATATGAAAAAAATTTAATGTTGGTTACTATGATAAAAGGATATCATAAGGAAATCTAACCTACTTTAGAGAGCAACTAAAGAAAAGGACCTCTAAATTGACATTTACATTACACAAAGGATAATTTGACTATAAAGTGATAATGGAGAAAGTTCTAGACTAGAGAAACAACAAGCATGAAATCTTGGGGGTTAAAAGAAAGCAGAATGCATTTTAGAAACGAGAAAAAAAATCTAATGTCTAGAACATAAAGTAGAAGGGAAAGAATGTCGAGAGATGAAGCTGGATTGGCAAGAAAAGCTATTCCAGCAGCTAGTGGTATAAACCAAAGGAGAAAAACAACCCAAAAGTAGGCAGAATTCAGCTAGAATGTTGGTGAGGAGGCAGATTTAAGATGACTATGGAATAAGTATGAGAAAAGAGGCAATGTGTATGGAGGCAACTTATTTAAGGAAGGCTACATAGGGCAGAAGAAAGTAAAGGTAAATGGAAAGATTAAGGTAAACAGATTTTTTTCTTTGTCAGGATAGTTTAGAACATGCTGATAGGAACTAATAGCCAGTGGAAGCCAACAAAAAAGGAAAATAAGATCCCTAAGAAGGCAGGAAGGGTGGAATCCTGACCAAGATAGTGATATGAGCCATGGACAGAAGCTAGAGCTAGCCATTCCACTGTTACAAGGAAAATGGAGGAGGGAGAAGACAAGTTTGTGGGATGTGTGGCTCAAAGATGAAACATGTAAAAACGGGTATTTTTCCCTCCCTGGTGAAAAGCTCTCTAAAACAAAGTACTCAGCTTAGAGAGGGACTGTTGGAGGTTCAAGGAGAAGGTTTAGGCAATAATTAATATTCAGTTTATGCAAGTGTCCATTCTGGCACTGAAAGGTAACAAAGTAGGATTTTCCCATCATGATCCAGCAGCTCAGATGAAAGATAAAATTGGTGGATTCAGTCAGGGTCAAAGTTTCTCTCCGACATGTGTGATAAAAAGAGAACTTGCACAAAAGAGCACAGACATAAATGACTTACCTAAAACTAATTAAAAAGGAGGTGGATTGTTTTTCTATAAAATCCAACAATATATGTTATATAGAGAAATACATATGCACTTTATAAATATATTACATATATCCAAAGACTGCAGGATTGAGAAATAAGATAAATAAAATGGAAGCATTGTAAAATTATCAAATAAAGCAGCTGATGGCCTACCATTAATAATACAATACTTTTTATGACTAGAGACAGATCCTTTAAAACTCTGAATTCTTTATCTTTCTCCCTTTTTCTTCTCTCTAGGTTCACATGAAAGAAAAGAATATCACCTTTTTTTCCAAGTACACCAAACAAATATCATTTTTATACAGGTACTATTGTGTAAAAAAGATTGAAAAGTATATAGTTAGATAATTATGGTTAAAATTATAATTTTTGTTAAATCTGTCACAATAGATTTCCAAACCATTAATTATGGCATTTTCATAGCAAGCCGGACTGCAGAAAA